ATTATAATTAATAATAATAATAATAATAATAATAATAATAATAATAATAATAATAATAATAATAATAATAATAATAATAATAATAATAATAATAATAATAATAATAATAATAATAATAATAATAATAATAATAATAATAATAATAATAATAATAATAATAATAATAATAATATCAATTTTAAACTTTATTGAAACCAATAACAAATCTTATCATTAAAATATCTATAAAAAATATTTTCATTTATAAATTAGAAGAAATTGTATATATTTTTTTTCTTTTTGCAATATGGTTCTTAGGGGAAAGAGACTCTAATAATCTAGAATTCTTGCCATAAGAGGTATGAACACTGACCAAGTGTTGTTCTCATCTAGGAGTATACATTAAAAGTATGATAAAATATAAATTTGATTGTTTTTGTATAGTAGATAAATTAAATAAAATTAAATTAAATTTAAAAAAAAATAAATAGTTAATAAATTTAATTTATCTATTGCCATCCAAATTCATTATATTTCCCACCTCTACCATAAACTAGGCCGAGGAAATATATTTGTAAAAACATAAGAAACTTTAAAAAGATCTTAAAAAACTCACAAGATGAAAAACTAACAAGAAAAAACTTACAAGAAAAAACTAACAATATAATACGTTTATGTATATGATGTCTAATAAGCTACAAGGTAACAACAATCTGCAATTTTTTGCAATAGTAGTAATCTCAAACTTTCAACTGTGAAGCATTTACATAATATTTATCAGAAAAGAATAAGAAAGGATTGTTACTTTTGTTGTTGAAGCTGCAAACATTGTCAGGAGTATCAGCAAAGTGCAAAGGAGACGACCACGGAAAAATAAACCTCAAATGATCTGCCCATGAACACTGACTGGCCAAGTCATTCTTTGCAGATTTTGGTAATAACTTTTTCACGGCTTTAGCAGCTTCATTGCTCAGCCGATCCTATTTCAATATATATAACAAACTTTAAATCCATCTCTTATTTTTTCATTATTAAATTTAATAACAGAAGTTTAATTTTGAAAGACAACCAACCTGAGCAATCTTACAAACAATGGCATGTCCATCATCTCCCCACCCTGTGGTATTTGGAAGCAAAAACAGGAATGAGATTATAGCCACAAGCACAACTCTATAGCCAGAACCCATAATAAAGAACACAAGTAAGGATTGTCTTGATCTGTTGTTTCTGTTTTTGTGAAGTGCAAGAAAGATATATGTGAAGTTGGTTATATTTTAGTGCTTTTCAAGTCAACATTAGGTAAGATGCCATGATTCTTATTTAAAGCGTGGTACATATTTTAAGACTCTATGTATGAGTTCTATCTTAGCAAGCAACTACTCATAATATTCGGATGAACTAAGAATATTCCCAAAATAAGTTGACTTAGATTATAATCATCTGAAATATGTAAATTAATTAATATTTGGGCTCACATGTTATTGGAGTAGCCAGCATTGGATGACTGACAATCAAAAATAAAATTTGTCCATTATGTGTGAAGTAATAATTTATGTGCTTGATCGGATATGGGATGGGTGAAGCAAGCTCATAAGAGCTTAAGGATATAATACATAAGGAAAATATAATAAAGGAGTTTGACAAGAATTTGTAAGAATTTAAATTTTGTTGGGAGAGAAGCAAAAGGCGTGGTAAGAGATAGAGAATATGAGGTGCTGAAAATTTGGATGGTTAAATAGGGATGGAGACTATATGTATTTGAAGATATATTTTGGATGTCAATTTCATGAAGTATGTGAAAATTGAAAATTGATTAAGATTTTGTTTGAATTATTGAAAGAATAGTAAACAATCAATATGGCAAGTTTATTCAAAGGAATAAAAGTAACTACTAAGAGGAATGTTAATGGAATACAAGTGATATCAGGTAATATTTTGAGAAACGAAGGTGTATGTCAAATGTGAAAATTAGCATTGAGAGACGTTTTGCAATCAGATATGTAAGAGTGTAAGCTAAGTAGTGATTTGGAAACGACAATGATCTATCAATATTCAAAGAGAGAGATTAGCTTGTATAAGGGAGATTAATTAAGTAAATGCATATTTGTGACATGTCTTAAAGAAAGGATAATTAACAACAGGCTAATTGGAGTATAACGGGATTGAGAGATATTCTATTCTTATTTCAGAGGGGTTGTCATCCCTTATTAAGGGTGATGTGGTTAAGGGAGACATCCATGGAGTTCAGGTGTGTAGAGGGACACTCAATGTGTCTCATCTTTTTTTTTGCAGACGATTATTTTTTATTTTGCAGGACAAATTTATCGGAAGCAAGAACTCTTATGAGTTTACTCAATACCTATGCAGAAGCGTCAGACCAAGAGATTAATATGATGAAAACAAAGGTATTCTTCGGTAATAACTTATCTAATCCAACAAAAGAGGATCTAGCTAGGATGATGGGAGTCAGTCATGTGCTTCGAACTGGTAACTATTTGGGACTCCCTTCCATGATTGGAAGAAGCAAGAAGGCCATTTTTTATTATATTAAGGATCGAATTTGGAAGAGGATCAATTCTTGAAAAGGACGCTCATCATCTAAAGTAGGAAAAGAAGTTATGATAAAGTTTGTGCTCTAAACCATTCCGGCTTGCATTATAAGTGTTAACCTTTTACCGGATGCGGTGATCAATGACATAGAGAAGATGTTGAATTTTTTTGGTGGGGTGGAAATAACAACAATAGAGGTATAAAGTGGATAGCGTGGAAGCGACTCACTTGTACGAAGAGAGATGGAGGTTTGGGATTCCGTGATTTTAAAGTGTTTAATATGGCTATGGTGGCAAAGTAGGGATGGCTTATTATGTCCCAACCTCAATCTTTAGTGGCTCATATTTTAAAGCAAGGTACTTTCCTTGAACTTCTTTCTTTGATGCTAATACTGGTTATAATCCTAGCTTTGTGTGGAGGAGTATATGGAAAGTGTGTGAGGTGTTAACAATAGGATGCAGGTGGAGTATATGTGATGGTAGAAGTATTAAAGTGATGAACGAACCTTGGCTTCGTGAAGGTCAAGAGGGTTGTCTAAGCTGCCCTCAGAGGCAAGGCGCGTATGACATGTATGTTAATAATCTTATGCTTGTGAATGTGAAACAGTGGAATATGAGAGTCTTATGTGATTTATTCGACTATGAAGCGATAAATAAAATTCTCCAATTTCCACTGGTGACAGAGGTTTTAGAGGATAAGTTGGTGCATAAGGAGGAACAAAGTGGCCATTATAGTGTGAGGTCAGGGTATCGTGTTTGGAGGAGTGTGCAAAATAACCATTCTTCCACGATTTCGGGGGATAATTGGAATTGTATTTGGAACATCAAAGCCCCGAAAGAGTGAAACATCTGCTTTAGAGAATTTGACTGGGCTGCCTTCCTACCCGAAGGAGGCTTCGTAACCATCGTGTCAATTGCACAGAAGAGTGTATGTTGTGTGTCGATAATTTTGAGGACAATTGACATGTATTTTTTGAGTGCTTAGAGATTAATAAGTGTTGGAAAAAAGCTGGTTTAATTAATTTTGTTGATCATATAGTTCATTTGTTTCATAATGTGAAGTCGCTCATCCTTGGTATTTGTAGTAAGGAAGATAAGAATATAGCAGGTAGATTTACAGTCATGTTGGAGGTGTTGTGGAAAATAGGAATGGTATTATCTGGAATAACGAAAGAGATGGGGGTTCCAAGCTTGGTTGGCTGTGGTAGGATTGGTTCTCGGTTCAACGTCATCAAGATAGTAACATTAATCATAATAAATCGCAAGTTTGGAGTGCCCCTTCCCCTGGTAGGTTTAAATGTAACCTGGATGTCGGGTTTAACATGAATTGTGGTACCTCAAATAGAGGTTGGTGCTTTCGGGATGAATATACCAATTTTGTCTTTGCATGGGTGGGGTGGGATCCAGGTATTTTGTTCGTCCTAGAAGCGGAAGCTATAGCTCTTAAATAAGCAACCCAGAACACTATCTCTTTAATTCTGGAGCATGTTGTGTTTGAAACATGCTCTCTTAGGGTGGTACAAGCTCTTCGTGCTACCAACACTGAAAACTCATAATTCTATATAATTATTAATGTTATTAAGCTATTGTTACATAATTTCCCCAACTTTGAGGTTGAGTTTATTAAGCGTCAAGCGAATTTTCTTGCCCATTCCTTAGCAAAGGCGGCCAATTCTTGAGCTAGGCGTAGTAGCTTTCATCTTGTTCCTCCTTGTATTGAACTTTTGATTCTTAATGAGAAAAGTTAAATTTGCTTTGTTCAAAAAAAAAAACAATTGGATAAGAGAGGTGTGTTGCATCCTAAAATTTACCCTCTTGAGCATAGCATCTAGAAACTATCTACTTTACTCGAAAGGATTGTTCTTTTCCTCTTTTTCTTTAGACAGTGTTATCCTACTATTAGTGAGTAGGCAGCCCTAGTCGTTGGATGTTTGAGGGACATTCGAAGGGACATTTATAGTCACAAAGGCAAATGGGAAAGAAACTTTAATAACTACCCTAGGGTTTTAAGATCATTTTTATCGAGGCGACATCGAGAGGGTCATTGAGGGATATATGATCTTTAAATCGGAGGGTAGCCACTAAAATCTCTCACGTTTCGAGAGTTGTGACTATTTTTCAAAGGCAACCTAAGTGGGGATACCCTAGAGGTGCGCATGTGAAAGTGTGTTGTATTCAGTTATTTATCTTTACATTTAGGTTTGCCAGCGTTTTGTTTTATTCTTGCCATACAATCCTAGTTAGCCATGCATCTAGACAGTTAATAATTCACAGTAATAAAAGTGCGGAAAATATAAATCCTAAACTATTACAAGGCTTCGGGGAGGGGATTATTTACATGTCCAAAATGAGGAATAAAGCATATAAAATAAAAGTCCTACTTTAAACTATTACAACCAGGAAACAGATACATTAAAAAATAAAAATGCTAAAATAATAAACGCGCGCGAATTAGAAAAGACGCCTAAAACCCTAAAAAGGAAAATCTTTTTTGCCATTTTTTTTTTTGAGAAAATGTTTTAAGTAAATAAAAATTAATCTAGAAAAAGGAAGAAAGCTAATTATCTAAAGAAGGTAAAAATAAAGACCTAATTCTAACCTTTTTTGTATTTTTATTATAAAGAAATGAAATTAAATCCTAAGTCTACTGATTTTAAAATTGAGGAAAATAAGTTAAAATAATTAACTAAATTAAATTAGTAAAATAAAACCTAACTCTGAGTTACTTATATTTTTCTTCTGGTTTTTATGTTGATAATAAATAAAAACAAACGAAAAAACAAAGTAAACAAGTGTGAATGGGCCAGGCAGCAAAAGTAAACAAGAGGGGGTGCAAACTGAAATTCGTTGGGCCCCAAGAAAATAGAAACCCAAGAGTTACGCTGGATCCTATGTTGCTAGCTTTTGAGAGTGTATGGTGAGCTGCGTATCTGAGGCTTTTAGATCTGGATCAAATGGTGATGACTTGAGGATGCATGGTGTGCACGTTGGACCCAGAAGTACTGGATATGCATATATCATGTTAGGAAGAAATAAAATGTAAAGACCTGGGTATCAAACTCAGGTCCTTCCCCGTTTGCACACTTCCTTTTTACCATCTGCGTTGTTTGTTCATTCGTTTATACAAATAAAATTATAACATTATATTAGTAAAACAAATCAGATATACATAATTCAAAATCAACATATGTGCGCTGCATAAGCCAAAAGGAAAGAGACGCCTGGATTTTGAGATTCGAAGGAATCAGTTTCAAATGCCCTAATAATGGTAGGTGTTGTACCCCAAAATTTGCCCTCCCATATTCTTCAAGGTTTGTCAAGATCAATCTCTAAATGGTTCAAGATTTGCTCAAGGATTGCACAGTCCAACATCCTCCAAAGCCAGTCAAAATTAGGGTTTTGATTCTTTCAAGGATTTTGAGGTTTTCAATGGCTCAATCAAGTCTCATATGCCTATATACCTTGTCAAACATCTACATGTCAAGTTGCAAGTCTCACAATGCCAGTTGCACAGTCAAAAGCTCCATTTTCTTCACAATCAACTATAGGGACAAAATGGTCATTTTACAGTCAAAAGTCAGAATTTTTGGCCAACATCTTATTTTGAGCTCACAATCATCATTTGATCAAGTCTTGATCATGATTCCTCAAGGATAGCTCAAAAATCATCAAGGATGCAAAAGTTACTATTTTTGGATAGCAGAAAAGTCAACTGTAACTTGACCAGGGCATAACTTTTTTATGGTTCATCAGAAAAATCCCATCCAATGCTCATTTTGAAGGGGGTGACATTTCCTACAACTCATCTTCACATTCCAAGTCCTAGAAATTCTCTCACAAAAAGTTATCAATTTCTACATTATAGGTCAATTTCAAAAGTCAACAAAAATGCACTTTAAGTCAAAGACCATAACTTGAGATTGGTAAATCCAAATGACATGGGACCAA